TCTCGCATGCGAATAATTTCGTACACTCCCGCGGGTGATGCCTATTAATTTATACATCGTACGATGTGTGTGTGTGTGGGTGTGCGTTGAATTCATCCGATAGAACAAATAATAAGCATGCGCGCCCACGTTGCTGCGTGCTCGAGTGCGTATCAATTCATTCTTAATTGCCGCTACGTAAATCAAATGGACGTTTTCGTGAAATATTAAATGTTTTCGAGCGATAAATTATTCTTTGGAGCGGCTGGATCTTTTGCATTCGCCATTCGAATCTATACGGCTCCTGTCTAGCTTCGAAGATATATGTTTATTTTTTCATACACGGAGAGAATTTTATGGCAAAAAGTACTATAGGATCTTGTAACCGAGAAATAGATCGACATTCTGCAGTAATTCATTGTATCGTTTCGCATGTGTTACTCAATATTTTGGATGAATTGCAATGTACTAAGATGCTTATTATGTTTCCAGCGAAATCTGTTATGTTTCTCTAGACTGAGAGAAAAAGTTTCGCTAATTTCACAAAATACCAGTATCCGTAACAAGCGGTTTGTTGATGTGGGACAACGAATGACCCCGTGGTGGAAACAGATGATTTGTTACTTTCAATTTGCTATTCTGAGCAACATTCTTCTAATGGAGAGAGACATAACTAACCTGACTTAAATAAATGACGAGAACAAATGAGATTTGTATCTCAAGTAACATATGTTTGTTAAAATAACAAATGATGAGAAATGACTCGCAACGGTAACTGTTCCATTTGTTTCCCTAACGATCATTGAACAGTAAACATACTTTTGTATTGATAATTGTTTTACAATTCTAATCATTTTTATATATCTGTAATAATCGATCTAATAATATCTAAAAATTTAATAATTTTTTCTCAAAGAATTTTTCTCAATATAAGTCGAAATTTACTATGTTCCTTAGCAAGACGGACTTTACCGACAGTCTATATTCCCGGACTACTAAAAACATAGTAAAATTGAAAAGAATTTATAAAAAACTAACACATTCTCTCGCCGCGTAATAAATGCGGAGCAATCAAAGCAAGAGAACTACGATATTCTGTACGATATTTCCCGCGCGCGCTAATACATTCCGGCATTCCCTCCGGGGAAAGGTTCGATAATGAAAAATTATCGAATGCAAAAAGAAGAGAGAAAACAGGCGAGCAGGCACGAGATGCGTGACGCGACTGGCGTGACGGAGGCCCTCGGAGTGGCCTGGCGCGTGACGCCGTATCGCAGCATGCAAATGCGCTTTGTTCATAAATTTTTTGCGGGGGCGAAACAAACAGCGGAGCGTTTCCGCGCTCGGCGATTCATACCGCGTGCCGCCAGTTAAGAATTAAAGTTAGCGCCAATGTGGCGAAAGGCTCGCTAGACTTGCCAATTGCAATCGCGCTAATTTGCATCCGGTCGCGCGTTCAACCGCTCGCTCACGCACCCCCACACGCACGCACGCACGCACGCACGCACGCACGCAGGCAGACAGGCACTTTCGACGTACGTTTATTCGTGGGCGGTCATGCGCGACGGGGCTCTGTTCACTTGATAATAATTAATAACCGTCCCAGTGGAGCTGTGCGTCGCGCGCGGAACATCATCGTCATTCATCAGAGAGCTATCTCGACGTAGCTCCCCGACAGCGATAAGACCATCGGGGTAGGGAGAAAGAGATTTCTCGTCGGCCATGTGCTTTTCGTCGTCGACTTTGCCCGGGCATTGATTTCGGGCCGGCCCGGCGTCGCCGAGAGTCGCGCCGCGCTTTTCGACGGAGCAGGTGGTCGTTCAACCGCCTGGAAATAAATGGGAAGGTGCGAAGCCCCGGGTTTGATAAGTGCGCCGGTGCCCGGGGGCGTCGACTCGTAGGGAATTATTCGAACAAACGATAACGCTACGGTAAACACGCGTGAAAGCATTAAGGCCCGGCTGCAGCGAGCGTTAATTCACAGACGTTAATTCACGCTTGTTCCCCGGCGTACGCGAATGGCAACGCGTCGATAATATACGAGTAAAACCTGATGGATATACATTACGCTTGAGCGATAAAACGAGGGAGGCTGTCTGTACGCGCCTTATTCACCAAGGAGAAACAACGGCGCTTCCCGGATTACGTCGTCGGTCGACTGGTCTGCTTTAATCAGCGCGCGGTTGCGCTTTTTATCCCGCTAACGAGAAGTATATATCGGGCGTAAGTTTCAGGCTTCTTCGGCGAGGATGATCGCCAACATCCCGCGTCATCTTGACTTTTATAGAACGGGTGCCAGACGTCGTAAATTTTTCAGCGCGCGACGACGATCGCGGAGTATCGGCGATCGCATATTAACGAGTCATTTCGTGTAGACACGGAGGGCTGTGTGGACGTGTGGTGTGTCCAACGCGCGACTGATAGAGCGAAACAATTTATCAAACTTGTCGGCGATCGCTGAATTAGGAATGACGGCGGAGCTACGAATGTCGAAGGTTCGATTCCGCGGCTATCGTGGCGGTAATCAACCTGGCCTCGGTTGCTCTCTCGAGCAACAGCGCCAGCGTTGCGTGCCTTTGTTCTAATTGAACGTCAAAAATAGATACAATCTTTTCTCCGTCGTTCCTTAGGAACCGTAGGCGCGATCACGATCGACGTGTGCACGCGATGCCCGCCGGCGCATCGAATGACGGCCCCCGTCGATACAACTCACGCCCCCGCTCGCGGATCTTCCTCTACCTCAGAGCCATCGCGCGCAAAACACCGAGCTTCCGTCCAACGTAATCGCGGCCGACATGTTTTAATTAAAGCCTAATCTTTCCTCCAAGACGTTGTCAATAAGAGAGACGTCTATACTCCGAGCAGATAATATCAATCGCGCACATACAAAGCGGCTTGCACAATGAATCGCATTATCGCCCGCGGTATTAAGCCGACGGAATAGATCCTTGATCGTCGGATGAACGGACGGCGAGGCTTGATTATCCGAATGAACGAAGGTTCCTACAAGCGCAAATATACGACAGGAGCGGCGGCGAGGGCTGTCGGAGCCCAAGTATGTGCGTACGTGTCTATGTGTTTGTTGGTGTGTTTGCCGGGAAGAGGGCGCAGAGAGAAAACGAAGGAACCAATTTCAGAGAAGTGGCCACCGACTAATGGCAATTAGGGGTTGTATGAGTGGCTGGTCGGGACGGCGCATAAGCGCGCGTCGGGATTTACGAGGACGACCACGCGACACCAGCGTAGATATTACAAATGGCCCAGTCTTTGCCGCCAGCAAACTTCGCCCCTCGATCGCGCTCGATCGATACACATAGATATCAGATATAGGTGGAAATATGGCGCGACAAGGCGCGAACCCATTAAGATATATATGTGCGAGCTCGCACGCGAAGCGAGAGGTCATTCTGCAATCATAGAATTATGCTCTCACATTAGCGGACATGACATAGTCAAATTGGTTGCGTTCGTGGTATTAGGGTCAAGGACGGTCCCGTGTGTGGGAAGTAATGTAAAGCCTCGGGTTCGGTGCGAGGTAAAAGCGCGCTCCGGAATAATTTCGTTCGGAAATAAATCGCTCGGAATAATATCGTTAAGGATTCATCAATCTTTTCTCTCTCTCTTTCTCTCTTTCTTGTGCGCGCGCGCGCGCGCGCGATTATAACCGGCGCGTTTGTTGGAAACCAGGGCGCAATCGTCACGCCCTCGAATACGTAGACGTCCAACTAAATTTCTAAATCACAGCCACGTGAAATATGGACCGCTAACGCAAATTGGAATCGGAAACGGATATTGGCCATCAACGGGAACACGCTTGCATTTTTGCACACAGGGAATTCGCGACGGTCAGAAAACGGTGCTATTCCGTGGTAGTATCAAGATTACGGAGACTGCTGTACGCTATTTCTGAATACGGTGGATCGCGAATCTCTCTCTCTCTCTCTCTCTCTCTCTCTCTCTCTCTCTCTCTTTGTTCTAAAGTGGATCTTAAAATAGTCATAACGACTGGTAGGCACGAAGAAGAGTTAGTGCTTGAGGGGCCAATTACGAAGAAGTAACTATGAACGGGTATTACGATCGAGTTTTGCGAGGCAAGAATAGGGTGGTTAGAGTGTTCTACGAGCGCGCAAAAGTATTTCGGTAGAAAGTACGATGGTGGAGAACGAATGACAAAAGCGACTTCTAAGATGGTGCGCTCGTCTTTTTAGAGACCTTCCGCAATGGTCGCGGAACGACTTTAGAATACTCCAGGCATGGATCCTCGCTCTACCTCTTTCTCTGTGTCTCCCTCTCCCCCTTCTCTCTCTCCCTCTCCCTCTCTTAATCTGAGAATTAAACAATTAAAATTTATTGCCGTGTCGTGCAAAGAGCGAGGTTTTAACCGCTGGTTTCGTACGGGCCCCAACGAGACGAGTCGCGACGTACCTTAATCCGTTTCGTCGCTCGCGAAGCCGTAGTCGTACCGGAACAACGTCGTTCAGTTCGTCGCCAGACAAGGAAATCTCGGAATGATTTTGCGAATACGTTCCGCAGCTACCCGTGGAATTAGACACTCCGGTTTCGTCGTTATCCCGACCGTTTAATCTTATTCCCGGATTTTTTCCGGCGCGAATCCCGCGCCACCGCGTTTCAGTGGTAACGGCGCGCCGTTCTCTCGATTTCGCTCGCTAGGGGACAACTTCGAAACGGTGGCGATGCACATAAAGTTAATTAAATTAAGGTCCGTCGTCGTCGCGGGGACTCAGTTATGCACGCGCGGCGAATGCTTAACGATATAACTTTATTTATCTTTGCAACGCGAGCCTTTTCTATGATGACACACAACGCGCAGACCGGGAAACATAAATTATAAATGCATATTTATTTGATTCATTTAATACTGACATTTTTTTCATTAAATGGCAATTTTTTATTCTATCTGGAGAAATTTAAACTTTTCTTTAATGAAAGAAAAGAGAATGTGATCAACAATTTACTAAATTTACACGAAGAGAAAAACAATCCAAATTTCACTGTTGCAGTAAAGCCATTGGTAGTTCAAATCCTGACGAAGGAAGCGCGAGTCTCAGCCGACAAAAATTACGACGTGGAATGTCGTACGAGTGGCTCACGGCCGGAGGCAATGATCACGTGGTGGAAAGCAAACAAGCCGATCAAGAAGATGGTTCAAACCGTAAGTTCCCTATACATATATATATAAATATATGTCGCATGTAAATTGCCTCTATGTGATGAAATCGTACGGTAAAACGGAAATGGAAGTCGCTCTAAAGAAGAAAGCCATGTCATTTAAATGCGGCGAGGAGCAAACACTCTTACCTCCTTAATAAAAAGTTTCTCCCGGACTCTATTTGAAGATGTTAAACGTCGACACTCGGTCTCTAACTCTCCGGCGACGAAAGCAAATTTATAATGTCCTTGTTATAAAAATGGCGCAAGCAAAATTGAGTGGTGAGTAAATTCAAGTGTTGGACTCTCGATACAAATGTCTCTCCCGTCTTCGCGCTGTAAAACGTCGTTCGAACGAGCGTTCGATTGTTACTCTCGAGTGCTTGGAAAAGCTTATTTCATTATAACGCGAAAGAAACTTTCCTTGTACCGTGACGATTTTGTCAGAAAGATATATTTCACCGCGCGCGAAGATTACGACGATGGTATGTAGAATGGATCGACATGGGTGTCTGTGTGTGTACGCAGTCAGTATGTGTTTTCACAAGCGAGTTTTGGGTTCCCCGTTCGATCTCTCGTCGGAAAATTTGGTAAAAGTGCTCACACGGTGAAAGAAAGGGAAAGAGAAGCAGGAAAAGTGGAGAAATGGGGGGAGAGAGAGAGAGAGAGAGAGAGAGAGAGAGAGAGAGAGAGAAAGAGAACGCGTGGTTGATCCGCGAGTCATCCTTCCGAAAGTCCTAGTTCGGGAAAGTTGGGCCGAGTGTTTTTATCGGAATGCCTCATCGGCGGGATGTGAACATTCGTGTCGTCAAGTCCTGAAAACGGTTAGGTGGAAGCATCGTCGAAGTATGTCGCACAATTCGGAGGAAAATTCACGAAATCGACATCCCGCAACTTTCCACAGTTTACGACGATTCGTCGAGAAGTTAGGACGATGCAGTTATTTCGTTTTTCTTGCGGGCGACTTCTCGCGCACGCCCTCCCCTTTTTCGTTCACCAAACGCCTCGATCCCCGACACCTTCCCGTCGCGGTGACAGAGAGAGAATGTGGAAGTTCGCGAACGATCCACTGGATCCCGCCCCGCTTGATAAACTTTCAAGGTTTAACTTTCTTTTCCTATTTTCGACGTAGATGCGCCCGGCCACTGCCCGTGGCACCAAGATGTTCCAGTAATGCTCGCGGACGTTAAATTTTTAAAACGCCTTCCCCCGGATGTAACTGTCGTTTACTTTGAGAAGCAACTTTGTCACGGCCGTCTGTCGCAAAGTCGCCGGCGGGCCTAGCCTTCCGCGACTATAGTACGCGAGAATGTGCCGCGAGAGTACCGTTGGCGCCGCAAATCCGTCAAAATGCGAATCGCGCGAATTTTATGACGCATAAATCGCTAATTTCGCGTGTGTAAAACGCGCATCAGCGGAGCCTCTCGCTCGTGAGAGTGCTCCACATTTTAATGTATCAGGATTTTACGGTGACAGATTTTACGGCATTACCGTTTTACGCTTATTCCATACATTTTTACTGCGCCATTATTTCGTGATCATCCACGAGCGAAAATGTTTCAAGCACTCGCGCGCCACGGCCCGGTATCGCGTGTACACAACGACAGCATCGAGATTACGCCAGACAAAACGTTGTATTACGAATTTTTTCATGCTATTACTTGGATAAATACATTTACCTGTGACGCGGAGTTTTTAATACATTCCAGATTGAAAACGCCGAACAAACGCAAATTCCACGAGAGAACATTGCTACCGCGCACCGACGTGACGTAAACGCGAATAAAAAATGTGTTTTTGTTTTTTTTCACTTTGAACCCCGCGATCTTGTCGTGACGCTGAGAAATCGCACGTATCTGTCATTCGTAAATTTCACATTTTTTGCTACACGCGTTTATTTGTTTCAAGGACTTTATGTCCGCCGTGAGGCAAACAGACGTTATCTACCAAGATTTGGCGTCGCTTTTATCATCCATCTATTTCTCTGATTATATTACATCGAATCTCTAATTCCCAATTAATAAATTCAATAATCATTTATTTTTTTTACTATCTGAATGATAATAACAAGTATAAGAGCACTATAAAATGAAGCGTGTCAAATCAACACATCTCGACTTTTGACACACTGACATGTTTAAGTCAACACATGTATGTGTATTCTAACCGCTTCATCCAACCTCAAATATCGTCTCTTAATGTTGAAGAGATATTTGTTTTAGACGTTTGTTTGCTGTAGTCAAACGATAAATATCGTCTCTTCAATATTAAGAGACAATATTTGTAGCTCGACTACAGTGTATTGTTTTAATATTTCACTTAACTTTGCAGCGAGATGTCAACTTGATACGTCACGACAAGCACCGGTTGCACATCTGCTGAAATATAACGAGATTACTCTCTAACAATGTACTTACGGTATTTTCAGACAATTGTACATTGCTATTGTCGACACTGTTGATATTTCCGCACGAGACTCACTTTCGATGGGCAAAAAACGCGTAAAGCACGGAGCGATGTCGATCGATGTATTAATGGCGGCTGATCGATCCAAAAGATCCAAGATGACCGCGCAATTGCTCGCGTACGCCGATAGTTGGCGCAATGACGCGAACGTTGCCGCGCTCCTGCAACGACGCCATCTGTAGGCCCGGTTTTGCAGGTGTATTCGAGAGATCGATAATTCGATAGATTGATAGTTCAATAGATCGATAAGCACATTTGTTTCTGACTTTGTTTTTCATCGATCCAGAAAACACGCCCTTGCTTTCCGGATTAATTAACAGTCATGAGAAATGCATAACTAGATACGAAGTTTACGGCTGGCCGAAAACTTTTCTTAACTATCGATCTATCGATAGTAAGGCATCCGCGATTTGAGTGTATGTACAGGTACGAGAGATCAGCGCAATCGAGACGGAAACGAATTTACTCGACGTTTGAGTTTCGAGACGGCGCGAGATAGATTGATTAAAACGTTTTTCCGTCGCATCTCTCCGCGACGTTCTCTTAGAAAGCGACGCTTCGAAATACCACGCCGGTAACATTTGGCCGGCGTATGCGAGCAATACGACCGTAACGTCAGTCCGCGTACGATCTACCTGTGCGATATATCGATACCCGTGTGTCGGACTGCCCGGAGGGTTTTATCGGAAAATTCGATCGCGCATCGCACCGAGGCACACCAAAAGTGCAACGCGGCAAAGCTTACAAAAAAAATCGCTAGAGAGATACAGAAAGAGTGAGCGAGTGAGCGAGTGAGTGAGTGAGGGAAAGAGGCAATGATGGGTGGAGGTGTATAAGAGAGCGAGAGGCAGCAATGCCACATTCATCCTGACGAACCATTACTTCCATTCATCGTATTCGCGATACTGATGCGGATACGCGGCTTTTCCGATATATATGCCCGATGGTGCTATCATTAAAATGACATCGTGAAAGCGGGAGGGACGCGGGTCGTGATGGAGAGAGGAAGCGTCCGTCGCCGATGTGACCCGCACCCATGCCAACCTCCATTTTCCGTCGTTCATCTAAGCATCATAAATCTTGAAAAAAAAGAAGACCGTTAATTCCCAGCTCTCCCTCTCTCATTCTCTCTCTCCCTCTCTTTTATTTCGGCGTCGCTTCAGCCCGACTACCCCCAACGATGTTAAATTAATATTAGCAGCGAACGCGCGACAAAAACGAGATGATGTCAACGTCGCACGAGTAGCCCCGTTCGATCGACAGGTTCGTCGCATTCAGATCGAGGAACATCGCCTAGTCCCAGATTCCAATGAATTTCGCATGTGCGCACTATGTTTAATTACAGTATGCGCGCGAGAACAATGAGAACAATCAGAGCCTGAGTATCCTGAGCTTCGTGCCAACTATAGAGGACGACGGTAAATATTTGACGTGCCGCGTGGAAAATCCCGCTATACCCGACAGCGCGTTGGAGGATAAGTGGCGGCTCGACGTGCAATACCAGCCGGTGGTCAACTTGAGGATGGGCGAAACTCTGAATCCGGACGATATCAAGGAGGGCGACGACGTGTACTTCGAGTGCAAAGTGAGAGCGAATCCGAAGGTGTACAAGCTCGCTTGGTTCAAAGATGTAAGTATTATGCACGAGTACTCGCGTGTCCATCACGATATCGCGAAGGAACATTTCACGGCATATTTGCACACCGTCTGTCGCGCGCACCTATACATTTATTTCCCGGCCGGTTTTATGCAAATTTAATTAGCTCGCCGTTAGATAACTTGTACTTATTACTATTTCACGTATGTATTTCTCATCATACGCGCACGCCTTTCATCTTACCGACGACACGTGAGAACACGCGAGCGAGCGTCTCGGGTTATATTACATTATAATTGCAAGGAAAAAGATGGCCAACTCCTGCTCGTGTTCCACGGTAACACCGTATCGCACGTGTCTTTTTCAGGGCAAAGAACTGAAGAACAACGCCACTGCAGGTGTGGTCCTCAGCGATCATTCGCTGGTCCTGCAAGGTTTGACCCGTTACTCCGCCGGCGACTACACCTGTCTCGCGGCGAACAGCGAGGGGAAGACCGCCAGTAATCCCGTATCTCTTCAGATAATGTGTAAGTCGGAAGCACGCGTATATAATTAACGAGTCCTTGCATAATAGCCAAATTATCCGGCGCGCGCGTGCGGAAATTGGCGGGCGAGGGTAAACAATGCCGTAATAGCGTTAGAGCGTATGTCCCTCGTAACGTGGCATCAGTTTCTCTCTCTCCCCAATATCCCCTCTCGCTGCTACACCATCCCCCGATAATTACTTAATCGATGGTAAGCAACTCCGCAGTATGCACACAGAGGCGAAGTGCACGATGAGGCGTTTGTCGAACGCACAAGAAACGAACTCGACTCGAGAATGAGACTGGAAAACGAAGTGATGGGGACGACAAGGAGGTACGAGGGAGGAAGGGAGTGAGAGGTAGATGATAAAGGAAAGGAGGAGCACGGGAGATAGGGTGTATAGTTTTCTGTGAAACACGGAACGCGGGTTATTCTATTAGAATGGTCGGTGTGCCCCCGGCGCTAGGCTGGCGGTATCTGCATCTTGTAAATGACCTAAGAGGGAAGGAAGGACTGCGATGCATATTCAGTATATGTAAAGCGTATAGCTGAATATTCATGTGTGGGTGAACGCAGGCTGGCAATGTGCTAAGCTAGGCCGGAGCAGACGTAGTAGAGTACGGCGGGCCGCGCGCACGTAACTAAAGGAGATCGAATGAGCGCGCGGCGGATCTGTCCTACCGTTTTAAACTCCCCCCTGTATTGAGCCGATGACGTCGAATCTCTCTTCTTGCGCGAACGCATCCTGAATCGCAATACATTATACAGGATGTCTGGATTTAAATGCCTTAGCGCGCTCGTGTGCAGATAAAACTCTTTCGATAAACTGAGTAGGAAAATCCTCTACCAATTTACAAACGACTACGATCATTTTTGAGGTATCAATGGAGAAGAATTGAAGAAAATCGTTCAATCTCGATGCGCGCAATGCGGTGAGACGGGTTCAGTTTGAAGAGATGCCTTGAACTTATCAACTTGTGTTTCCCACGAGATCACGAAACAAATCAACGAAATGGCTCTTCATAATGTTTACACAACTTGTTCCATCGCATCGTGCGCCTTGATTAATATCTCGACTATTACCCTCGTGGTTTAGAAAATGGTACAGAATTTCTCTACTCAGTTTAACGAGTTTTACATGTAGGCGAGCGGTCGGACACCTAAATCCAGACACCCTGTGTATTTATGGTTAAGCGACGAACCGTGTCGCGCGAGAGCCCTTCCCTCCCAACCACGTGTACGTTTCGTTCCTATTTTTTTCTTTCATTTCTTTTTTCTTCTTTTTGTGTATCTCTCGAAGCAATTTAATTTGCGCTCGATACTTCTCAGTCGCGTGACGAATCTGTATATTTGTTGTGATGACGTCACGTCGTATTGTCATTAATAATATTTCATATGTCACATAGCGCCTTGCAACGCAGACAGATTTATTACAGAGTCCCAATTTAGCATGCAAAATATTACCTGACCACAGATAATGCGCGAACTCGAATAACGAGTTTAAGAATAAAAATAAATTCGCACTCGTGGTATAAAATCTATAGCTCCGTTAAACAAATTTAACGGCTCGCGATGCAGATCGTATAAGTACAACAAGCGTTCTCGTCGATGCAGATTTGATCTACAAATTTAAAAGTTTACCGACGTCTATTGCTATTTATATACGTATGTTGGGATATATTTAAATTCCAGCAATTCCGAATCGAACAAAAGTCACAAGATTACATTTACGTAATTAGATGTACCAAGAATTAGATTTACACATAAATTTTCGTATCAACAATGTCGTGATTTGATAATGAATATGAGTTTTTTAATAATGAGAATTCACTTTTGCTTCTTGATGTTTCGAGTTGAGTGAATTTACTCGCATAAAGATCATAATTAACAATTAATCTTTACTATTATCCCAGCAAATATAATTATTGGAATCAATCAGAATGATGACTGAATTCAGTAGATGCAATGTGCATCGGTTATTAAAACATTAACGAGAATGTATTTTTCGGTTTTTCGAGCATTTATTATGAAACACCTAATCTGTTTTTGCCGAATAGTGGAGAGGAGAAGGAGAGATAGCCGTTGAATTTTTCACAAGCGAGACAAATGTCGCTCCAACAATTTGTCTGGTTATTCCAGCGAAATTGTGAAATTATTCAAGTTGTACCTTCTATGGGAGCACATGCCAGCGTGAAACATAATATTGTCTTTCGTCACATTGTCCTAAATCGTTCGGGTCGTGGAACAACGGGATGGTGAGTTTTCATGAAAATATCATTTTCAGAGATGGAGAAAAGATGAGTAGACTGAAAATGGTTCCAAAAAAGTTCGAACGAAATACACGACTTTCGATAATTGCGAGTATTTTATGGCATTTTTGTCTACTTTTGTTCCGGAATACATCGCATTAAGCGCAATAGATAAAAGGTGAGTTCGGGAAGCTCGCCACCACACTATCAACGCTAACGCTACCAACTCTTTTCACGGAGTCAAGATAGTGCTAACAAATGCGAGCTCCATGAACAGCAATAGCGTAGTGTTAAGGGCCGCCCTATTAAGTGGTTAAAATTTAATCTATAAATTTTTGTGATTTTGCATCTTGTAATTGGATTTCCACATAATTCATTTTTTATATGTAAAGCTAACAACATTTACAATCAAAGAATAGTTTAAAACTTGATGTGTAAGGAATAAAGATACATACGCAGCACGAATAATTCACTACCGCCGTTCAAAGAGCTCGCAAACGTTAATGCCAACAATGCACTACCTCGGAAGCGACAGCGTTGATAGTGCGAAGTCATGACGTAGAACACTACGGTCAGTGACGTCACGATAGTGATTGGTAGTGCTACCAGTTAGCTCCCCGAACAGTGATAGCGTTAAATAGCGCTGTCAGAGTGCTCCCTGAAACACGCATCCACGATCGGGTTTCCATCGTCTTTTATTCGCAAATTTCGATAACGAGCATCTGCAAGACGTCACTGTGTGAGATACCTTCCCTTCCTTTGGTAAACAGACGCGCCGTCTCGCTGATACGTCGATATATCGCAACGTCGTAGGATCCCCGACTTCTCATCTTAGCAATTAATTTAGTACCGCATAGACTGTATCAAATTGCAACCAGTCTCTCTCTCTCTCTACTTCTCCCCCTTTCCTTCTCTCTGCCTATCCTTCCATCCGTGATTCCCAGCTTCGGCTCGTAAATCATCACTCCCGCCGTGTGGGATTTCCGCATGTCATGGCCTATCGCAAATACCGATGTCAAGGGAATTTCCTATTAGACTATCGATCGACCGTACAGCGGGCTGAACGGTGTCGAGCTGCTTCTTCTTCCGTTTGACACCCGCGGATCTCGTTGGGATATCGAGCAAGCGAGTGAGGGCGGCCGTGTACGCAAACACAGACACAGGGATCATATCGTGCAACGAAGCCGAACGTCGAATAACCATTTAAATCGCCGTTAGTATCATTTCGCGACGAGAACGAAACAACGTCGATTGATTTACGGGCCGCGTGCACGGCGAGGCGCGACGCCCGAAGACGTAAATTAATCAGCTGCTACTGCTGCAGTTTTTGCGCTTATTATCGTCGGACAATGAAATTTCTCGAGGCGAAGGAAGAAGGTAGACTACTTTGTTACACATTAATCTTGACAAGCGAGTAATAAATCACCCTGCACTTCAAACTTCGCGCCACTCCATCGTTGTTAGCAGAAAAGGCCACCCGGTTAGGCGAAGTACGACGACTTTGTTTACAGATACGCCGGTGTGTAAGGAGGGCAGAAGCGAAGTGGTGGTTGGCGCTTTGAAACAGGAAACCGTGTCGTTAGTGTGTTCCGTAGAGAGCCATCCGGCTCCATTGACTTTCCATTGGACATTCAATAATTCCGGCGAGCTGATGGAGGTACCGCACTCGCGTTATTCCCACGCATCGGCGCCCGGCACACCGTCCGTCGCAGACAGTTTGAAAGAGTACCAACAGTTTCACGGATCCAGACTCAACTATACGCCAGCTACGGAAATGGATTACGGTACGGTGGCATGCTGGGCGAGCAACCAGGTTGGCAAGCAACGAACACCCTGCCTCTTTCAGGCAAGTACTTTTCCGCCTGTGCCTTTTCACTTCTTTACGTAGCGCCACGTACGTGGCTTCCGACGTGTGATTCAGAATTTCGTGCTTTCAGCTTAACGTGCGCGCGTGTACCAAATACGCGTCAATAGACGCGCGATCGCTTTTATCGAAATGTACTTTCCTTTTCCATTGCGATATGATAAGACGACGATTTCTTTTTGCTTTCTTCTTTTTATCAACTTTAAGTCAATCTCTTTTTCTTAGTGAAATAGTTATATTAATTATGTGGTAATTAATGAATAAGAATGAGAATAAAATATATATTCAAATATACATTTGAAAGGAAGCTTCTCGCGAAGTAAGCGAAAGCAAACAGATAATACCGGGGTCCTTAAATTAACTTCGAGTGAAGTTCTCGCGAGATTCAGTAAGATAAAACGCGTCATTGAGAGCGAGATGTATTGAATCGAAAAATAAATAACCTGGAAGTTTCTATTAAGGAAAGGCAAACGAAGTATTCTGTGCCTCTATTTTGATCCACCGACGGATCGTTGCAACTATTGCGCAAACAGTCACGGAGACTGTTTCTAGAATTTTCTTTTTTGCATACTCTGTAATATTACCTCTTCTCTCCATCTTTTCTCTTGCTTTCGCTAATAAAGCTGTTATTATTATGTCGTAAATTATTAGATGTAGAATATTTCTGAATCTAGCTGAACAGATTTTTTTTAATTTTCGCAAAAGATTCTCAATCCTAACAAACTATTTTGTCTATGCAATAAATTCCAATTATTTTGTCTATACGACAAATTTTTCTCATTTATATAAAATATAATAACGTGCTATATAAATTATTAACGTTAAATTTTTAATTAAATTCCGAAGCGCCGTGTGAATACTTGCTGCTCGTTGATTCATACGATGTTGCATACAAGAATTGCACGATTCTTGCTTAACAAATCATGAGAAAAGAATTCGTAATGATCCTTTACGTGATTTTGGGCCCGATTCTTGACGATGTGCGAATGAGATACGCATGCAAAAATCTATAGTATACGTAACGTGAACTATACGTTTTCGCATGCGTATCTCATTCGCATACCGTTAAGAATCAAGTCCCTTGCCGTTGGAAGCAGCATCACTATTCACCGCGATATCGTAGAATCCACCTTGATCTAAGATCAAGAGATACTCCCGATTGATAGGCTTGAGACACGGCGTATCGTCGATCACTGTGCCTAGCACGATTCTCGAGCGTATCGATTAGCCCGATCTGAAAATGGCTAGACTATCCGTACTGCATACTTAAAATATTCCGATGTTTACACGACGTACGTCATGTTGCCGGCTATTCCCTTCATAAATTTCATACACTATACGCTACGGCATCAACGTGCTCCATACATTTTCATTTTGATCGATCGACGGTATCTACAAAGAATGCGGGGGAAAGAGGGATGGGGAGGGGGGCCGCGTCTTTGACGGTACGAACTGTGCGATAACGCGTTTGTATTTGACGTGCATATGAAAGTCTTCCGCGTAAAGTCGTTTACCGCTGCTACGAAGAAGATCGCTCTCTTCCTGTTCATCGCGAAGACTACAGAAGAGCAGGAAAAAAGGGGAAAAAAAGAAGAAACGCACGTAATGCAAATGCTAAACGGCTAAATTGTATCAGTGAAATTAAAGCGGGCAATGCGTGTTGAGCGCACTGAGAAGTATTCATGGAATGGTACGCGAGTTTCGTTTTTCCTCCAAGAATCTGACTACTCCGCTTCGTTTGTAATGCAATAAAGGACGTATTGTTCGCCTAACGCAAATACACTTTATCCTACGGCTTGCTTGTTTCAGGTCATAGCCGCGGGTCGTCCGTACGCTCTTCACAATTGCAGCGCCACGGAGATGTCGGCGCCTCTGGACATGGAAGAACTCAGTACCAAGTCAGGGACGGGACTGATGGTCCGATGCCTGGAGGGTTACGACGGAGGTCTTCCGATATACAGTTATCAGCTTGAGGTCGTGGCCGACGAGGAGGGAGGTCCGATTCTGCTAAATAAAACTCAACCGGCGAGTCCTAACGGGCCGACCTTCGAGGTCGCGGGTTTAACCACGGGCAGGAGCTATCGACTCTTTCTCTACGCGATTAATGCAAAAGGGAGAAGCGAGCCTGCCATTCTGGAGCCGGTAACCCTAAAAGGTGTCGCCATGTATACGACCGGTGAGTACATTCGACTGCCTAGAGGTATTTTTACATCGAGAAGGAAGAAAGAGAGGGAGATCGATCAGTAGAAAAAATTTCAAACGCTCCGCTATTTCATTTCTATTCGACGGATAAATAGACGAATGGAAGTCGTGGTTATTATCACGCTGCACCGTGTATCGATAGCGTCAGTTTCCCGCCGACAAGGAAAAGTGGAAATTCTGTGTTTTCAGTCGAAAACTTTTCGAAAACGAAAACGACCGTGGAAACGCATGAAATGTTGATAAGCTCGTGAGCGTCGCTATTTATTGCAAAGGACATCGCCTGCATTCCAAGTTTGAGGGGAACTACGAGAACTTTTCTCGTTAGCGGCGATGATTATTCTCGCATTACCCGTAAGTAGGAAAAAGGAACGTTGCTGAGGTAAAACGTCACCGAGAAAAGTCGCAATCGAATATCATAAGCGTGATAACTTGGATGACTTCTAAAGGACGAGGAAACCAGGCGATGTGAATTTGCGCGGTGCTTATTACGCGAAATTTCTCGCCCCCTCCGTTATATCCGAGTCCAAAGTAACGCGAGTGCGACGCACTGCAGGCTACATAAGATCGATCGCGCGTGTTACCCCCTTCGCTTCCTCGCGAGAGAGAACTCGATTATCTCGCTCTAGTAGCACGCAGAAAACAGACGCACTTTACGACAGATTTTTGCCGGCGATTTTATATCGGCGAACAAGTCGATCTCGCACTAACTCGCCGGGAGCAGCATAAAAAAGAGAGCGTGATCGCGCTGTATTTTGTCAGCCGGCGACTGAAATTCGTTTCCTTTCTCGACTTCCTGCATTTACGGGCCGATTGCCGGTCGTTGCCGCAACAATAACTGCCACGCTATATTTTTTCTTCCCATTTTTTTTTTACGTTTTTTCGCCGGGTCCCGCTGTAAATCGAGCGGGTCGGACGCGCTGCCTGAAAAATGACGCGACCCGCGGCCGGAAAAGAACGCTGAATCCCGCTTTTGACGGTCCATTAGCGCGCGCTCGGACACGTAGCGCGGTTGCGGTGTGCACGGATAGCGCCTATTATACCACCGATAGGCGTCGCAAGGACGGCGGATATGATCGCAATTTCACAAATACTGCGAACGGACGCGTCAGTATTGCAATTAGTCGGTTAACCGCCCCCGTAGTCTCCTCGCCGTTCTCCGCGACTCAGGTTCGCGCTGCGGTCGGCGATGTTGTGTGAGCCGGTACGTAGGGACGACGTCGGGGGTGGTGGTGGGTCGGTGGGTCCACCGGGTGAATGGAGAGATGGGAGTGACTAGCGCCGTTAGAAGGATGAGAGAGAGAAAGGGAGAAGGAA